TGGTCATCCTGCTGTCTACCAAGACCCTTCCTGGGCACCCAGCTGATACCCTTGTTCCCAGCCGTGTGCTGGAGCAGACAGGCCAGCTCTGGAAAACTCCTCCACTGCACAAGCACCTCTTCAGGGCTTGCAATCATGAGCTGAGAAACTGGGGCAAAGGGAATCACAGCATCACTTTGGTTGGAAAAGACCTTTAGGACCATCAAGTCCAACCTGCAGGGGACTTGGGCAAGCAAGGTGCTCATGGGCAGGGACTTCCAAGAGTGAAACAGAGAAGGACAAAAGCAATGGGAATGAAAGGCTTGACAAGGGATGGGCTGGAGGTTCTGGGAACTGCCACATGGCACAGGGCTGATTTCTGTGCTCCACAAGCATCTGGTCCTAGCAACAGTGGGGAACTGCCTCCTCATCTCCTCTGCTGGGCAAACAAAGGGCACAACTGGCATCCACAGGCTTCACCCAACCAAGATCACACCTTCAGAAAGGTCCTTGTCCAAGAATCTTATAGCCCAGGTGACAAGTATTGGTGAAAAATGGTTCACAGAGGTAACCAAGGGGTTGCCTTCACAGTGGGCATGAAAAAGGGGCTGTGCTACTCCTGCTTTGTGTAAAAATCATCAAGGATCTGGATTTCACCATTTCTGTGGATGTGTACTTCGAAGCCATCTGGTTTCTGGGGCTGTCCTTGGAGATTTTCCCTCCCTGTGAGTTGCTGCAGCTGGCTCAGAGCAAACTGGTTTCTATTCCTTACTGCTAAACCAACCTTAGCAGAGAAACATCTTGGCAAGAGCTGCCCTTGCCCTGCCCCAACTCAGCAACCAAACTCATCGAACCATTCTGGTTGGAAGAGACCTTCAAGATCATCTCCAACCATCCCCCAGCCCTGCCAGGTGCCCACTGCCCCGTGTCCCTCACCCCACATCTCCACGGCTTGGAAACCCCTCCAGCGCTGGGGGCTCCACCCCCACAGCCCTGGGCAACCCTCCAGGGCAAGAAATTGTTCCTCAAGGACAACTGAAACCTCCCCTGGGGCAACTTGAGGCTGTTCCCTCTTGTCCTCTTCTTCTTTGGGAGCAGAGCTCGACCCTCCCCTGGCTCCAGGCTCCTGTCAGGAGCTGTGCAGAGCCAGAAGGTCTCCCCTGAGCCTCCTTTGGACTCACTTTGAACCTCCCCACTATCCGCTCTTCTTCTGTTGCGTTGTCATCGTTGTCCCCAATCTTCCCACGGAGCAGGTTGAAGGTGTGCAGCCAGTCCTCAAAGTTATCAAACTCTGTTTCCAGCTCTTTGTTAAAGACCTGAGATGACAGAACATTAAAGGAGGCGAATTATGTTGGAAAGCATCTTCATAGAATCATAGAATCCTTTAGGTTGGAAGGGACCTCCAAGATCAAGTCCAACCATTGAGCCATTAGGGCTCTAAAGTCCTCTGCTAAAACAGATCAGAATCTGTCAGGGTTGGAAGGGACCCTAAGGATCCCCCAGTTCCAACCCCTCTGCCATGAGCAGGGACACCTCCCACTAGATCAGGCTGCCCAGAGCCTCCTCCAGCCTGGCCTTAAAGACCCCCAGGGATGGGGCCTCAACGCCCTCCCTGGGCAACCCATTGGATTGGTTCTTAATGCCACAAGCACCTCCCCAAACTGCTGACGTACAAGAGGGAAGCTCAGCTGAATGGGCACGAGGGCTACACCCCCTCTGGGCAATGCCCAAGTTCAAACCCCTTCTGAAGCCCAGAACCCCAGATTACACTAACCCTAGAGAACATCATGGGCCACCAGGTTGAACCAGAGCCCACCCCTGCCCCGTGTCATGGCTGGGTTGACCATGGTCAGTCTGGAAAACTCCCCTCCATCCAAGGCACACCCGAGCTGCCCCAAGGATGATGCCATCCCAGGGCAACCCTTCTTCTCTGAAGCTTGTGACCTCCGACTCCTTCAAACTTTGGGGAGCAGCTGGCAGTCCCAAGGCACACCTCACCTACTTCCAGATACCCTCAGGCAGGCCAGGTGCCTCAAGCAGGGCTGCTCCATCCTGCTCTGATCTGGGGCTGGCTGGGACTGCCACCCTGGCACTCAGCAGGGTCTCCTCCTCCCCTGCTGGCACACGCACCTTCAGCTCGTCGATCTTCTGCTTGTTCTTCTTCTCAGGAAGCTCAGGGGTTGGCTGTTGCTTCTTTTTCTTATCGTCTTTGGGTGCCTTGGACTTCTCCTTGCTCTTTGTCTGACCCTTGGAGCCTTGGGAGAGTCATCAGAGAATGGGATTTCTCAGTCCAAGGGGAAGTGGAAGGGTGGGTGGAGGTGGACATGAGGGTGAAGGGGGGTGGTGGAAACAGGGAGGGGGGACTTGGCCAAAGTCCTTCAGTGAGGAGGAGCATGAAAGCTGACTGCTGCCACTGCCTGCAGCTCCCATCCCAGCCCTCTCCTGCCTTTCCAGGACTCTGGCCACTGCTGCCCAGGTCACAGCACCTTCAGGAGCCCCAGAGCTTCTGTGCAGGGAGTTCCAGAGCTGACCTGAGCAGAACTCATTTGGAGGACCACAAAACATGAACCAACAGCTCTGTGCCCTGCCCAGCCTCAGTAACACTGAGAGGACCTGATCTTGCCCACAGCATCTCCTTTTCTCCCTTCCACTGGAGACTTTTCCTGCTGTACACAGCCTGGAGAATAAAACCCCAGCCTAGAGATCACAGGGAGGACAGTGCTGGTCACAGAACCACAGAATCACTGTGGCTCAAAGAGACCTTTGAGATCATCAGGTGCAACCACCCCTATCCCTGCCAGGTCCCCACTGCCCCGTGTCCCTCACCCCACATCTCCACGGCTCCGGAACCCCTC